AAAAAAAAAATTAAAATAAATGCTCATGTTATTTTAAAAAGAAAAAGGAGAGAGAGACAAGCCATTCAATAAAATAATAGGAAAAGGCTTAAATAGGCACTTCCCCAAAACAGGAAATTCAAATAGCCATAAACACATGAAAATGTGCTCAACACCTCATTTCTCATCAGGGAAGTACAATTAAAGCCAAAATGAGATACCACTACAAATCTACCAGAATGGCTAAAATTAAAAGACTGATAATACCAAGATATAGAGCAACTAAAACTCTAATTCATTGCTGGTGTGAATGTAAAATGATACAAGCAATTTGGCTAAGAGTTGTAGTTTCCAAAGTTAAAATGCCCTATTCTATGACTTGGTAATTCCACTTATAAGGTAAACAGCCAAGAGAAATTAGGTTAAATAAAATGCTACAGCCAGAACTAAGCCAGGATGACTGAAATCATAATAGAGACGGGGGAGATGAGAGGACAGAAGAATAGACTGGAAAGGGAATTAAGAAATTCCGTTTTACTGAAAATATTTTTCATCAGGGTGGTAGTGGCATGGGTGCACACACACATATGTACAGTTGAACACTTAAGGATACTTTAGACACTTCATTGTACATTATAACTAAAATATTTTTTCAAAAAAAGAGAATCCCTCAAACATCATCACCTCATGACCCTCTCTCTATAGTTGACTCCCACTTACTTTCTACTACTCTTCCCAGTCCTTATTATAGTATTTTCAATTGATCCCTAATCCCTGTTTCCAGAGAACCTTTCAAAGGTCACTATTAAAGCATTTAAAACATTTCATTACTTAAATCTATTTAGATCTGTATACATCTGAAGAAATGTTAAGTTCCCTGAAGAGCTGAGGCCTGGCTTTCTTATTCACCTTGCTTCCAAGGTGCCTAGCACACTGCAATGTACTGGAGATATCAATAAATGTTTTCTGGATTTAAATAACTCCTATGGGGATGCCTGGGTGGCTCAGTTGGTTAAGCGTCAGCCTTCAGCTCAGGTCATGATCCCAGAGTCCTGGGATGGAGTCCCACATTGTGCTTCCTGCTGAGCAGGAAGCCTGCTTCTCCCTCTTCCTCTGCCTGCCGCTCCCCCTGCTTGTGCTCTCTCTCTGACAAATAAATAAAATCTTTTTTAAAAAAAATCAATAAATAAATTAATTAAATGATGCCTATGACTTATAGAACAATGCCTCACTAAATCATTCCCCTTAACTTTTGTCCTTTAAAGACAATTTGTTTCCCCTTCTCCAATGGCAATCTTCTACCGTTTCTAAAAAGAGGATTTGGGAGAAAAAAATGCATCTGAAATGAATCTGCACATCATAATCAACCAGCAGGATTGCTGCTCTAAATAAAAATGTATGGAAATACACACAATGAAAAAGTAAATGATTCTTCTACTTTAACAACAATAAGCTCCTACATTTATTGGATACATACTGTACAGCTCTATGAGGTAACTATTCTTACCAGCTACACCTTAGATGGGAAGTTTAAAAACTGTCCCAGATCGGGCGCCTGGGTGGCTCAGTTGGTTAAGCAACTACCTTCGGCTCAGGTCATGATCCTGGAGTCCTGGGATCGAGTCCCACATCGGGCTCCCTGCTCAGCTGGGAGTCTGCTTCTCCCTCTGACCCTCTTCCCTCTCGTGCTCTCTATCTCTCATTCTCTCTCTCAAATAAATAAATAAAATCTTTAAAAAAAAAACAAAAACTGTCCCAGATCATACACTTCCAGTACCTACCAGGGCCAGGATCTAAAGTATGACCACAGGAAAGACTAGGGTGTTAAAGTTATATAAGACCACATGCCAAGAGAAAGTTCAATGAGACCATTTATTTAAAAAAGAATAAAGAGGAGTGCCTAGCTGGCTCAGCCAGTAGAGCATGCAAATCTTGATCTCAGAGTCATGAGTTCAAGGCCCACACTGGGCATAGAGCTTGCTTAATATAAATTAATTAATTAATATTTTTTAAAATAAAAAATAAAGAAAATTTATAAGAAAAAGAAACCCAAATAGTCAAACATATGAAAAGATGCCCAAATTCCCTCATAATGAAAGAAAAGCAAACTCAAACTACATTAGGATGCAATTTCTCATCTATTAGACTGGCAAAAATCCAAAAATTTGACACCACCTTCTTAGTAGTGCTATTGAGAAGGCAGATGCTCTAATAATGATGAGGAGGACACATCCCCTAGGGTGGTCAATCTGGCAATATTTATCAAAATCACCAATACTTACATAACCTTTGGTCCACCCTCTCATATCATTTTTAGGAATTTTTCCTACATATATAATTATACATGTACAAAATGACATTATGGTCAAAGATTTAACACTGCAGCACTATTTAAAATAGCCAAAGACTAGAAATAACCCAAGTGTTTATACAAGTTTGGTTAAATAAACTGAAAGAACATTCTCTATGAACAAATATAGGAAGATCTCTAGCATAAAGTAAAAGAACAAGGTACACATACGTGCAACAAAGATGTTAACAGTGGGGGAAACTTGGTATAGGGTATAAGGGAGCTCTGTAATCTTTATAATATTACTGTAAACCTAAAACTGCTTTAAAATAAAAAGCTCAGGGGCATCTGGGTGGCTCAGTCAAATACGCATCTGCCTTTGGCTCAGGTCATGATCCTGGGGTCCTGGGATTGAGCCCTGCGTCCGGCTCCCTACTCAACGGGGAATCTGCTTCTCCCTCTCCCTCTACCCCTCCGTGCCAATCATGCGCTCTCTCTCAAATAAGTAAAATCTTTAAAATAAAACAAAACTAAAAATTTACAAAAATAAGGTATAGACAGTATACAGTTCACTGGATTACGTGTAAGAAAGGAGAATGAAACTACATATTTACCTGCTTATACTTTCATAAAAAAATACTAGAAGAATTCACTAGAAACTACTAACAGTGATACATATTTGGCGAAGAAGGAACAAGAAAACGGGGCAATATTTCTCAATATAAGCTATTATTTTTTTTTAACTTGTTAAAGATTGCCTTTCCCAAAAAAAAACGGAGTAATTTTTAAAAAGCAGCTCCACAAGAATTATCTCCTTCTATAATGAAACCCAAGGAAAGTTTCTGGCACAGTATTTACATACCAGTAGATTATGAGTTTAACAACTATTAAACTTCTCTAAACATAAACTTTTAATCTCTATGGTATATGCTTTCCATAATTAAAAACCAAAATATTTTGTTCAATTTTTAATGAAGATAAATAGAAAAATCGTTTTTATAGACACTTGCTCTTCATACAATTTCTCAGAATACACCTATTTGACACAGTAATTTACAACAAAGCTCAGTAATATGATCTCAAAACTGAGTGAAAACAAACCCCTTAATGTTGTACAAGTTCACTTTTTTGTATAATAATCAGTGTTGTTTGCTAATAAAAAGACTGAAACCTATGGCAGTGAAAAAACAAAGAGCACAAAGTATTAAAAGCCACCAATTTTAAAGACATGTATTCACATTGGTCTGCTCATTAGCTATTTTGAAGACCCTAAACTCACTTTTTTTCTGTTCTCCAAATTTTAAGAATTGGATTAATTTATCTTTATCTCCATCTATTTTTTAAATTCCATGTATCCACAGGAATGTCTAAAGTACTTATTTTTAATTTTAAGAAGGGCAAAAGTATGCCCAATAAGAAATACATCAACTAAAAGTTAAAACAACTCACATATGCTTACTTACCTTGAAAGGTTTGTCTCCACTGTGTGTCAGCATATGCCTCTGTAACCAACTCTGACTGGTTGATGGAGTGTTATACACTTTGCAACCTTTCCATAAGCAAACAAATACCTGTTAAAAGAAGAGCCATAATAATTTTCATCGCTCATTTCAACAGAGTTTTATTCCTTGTAAATTCAAATGAACACGTTGCAAGTCTTTAATTGACAAAAAGAGCCATTAATGTATGAGTCAGTCAAAATGCTTAAACTTTTGAACTTCCAGTATGAGAGGCATGGTTTTAACCTTTTCCCCTTAAGGCTGCTGTCCAATTCCTTAAATGGGGACTGACAAACCAATCCCAAAGTGTCATTGAGAAGGAAATATACAAAATATTAACAATATATCCCTAAGGAACCAGGACTATACACCATTATTTTTATATTTACTGCGTGAGGGAACAAGCATGTATTAATCATAAATATCAGGAAAATACAAGGGTATAAAGAAACAATAAAAATAAATCAAAATAATCAAATATTTTTAAAGATGAACTTGAAAAAATTAGTAAAGCAATTACCAAATTAAATTTTTCTGCTCTTGATTCCTTATTCTCACATGCATACTAATACTCAATTTTACAATGTTCTATTCATTAAAAATTATTTCTAATTATCTTGATTATGAAGCAAAATCTAATACAAAATGTTAAATTAATACAGTTGCAAAAGCAATGGGCATAAACTGTTCTATCATCCATGATAGATCCACATTCCTGGATTCACGTAATTGAGTATAACTGGGCTTGGAAAGTATTAATCTAACAACTAACAATCTAATCTTTATCATCTTCCTACTAATGAGATCAGTTTTCTAACATTATATTTCCATCAAACTGAACACTGAAAACTGTCCCCCAACATCAGTAAAAGTATGAATCCACTGTAATCATAACCTTCAAAGAATCATTTATAGGCTCTGCTCTTTTCTAAGAGCAATTATAAAAAGAACGACATTTTGAAGACTTTACTATATGTAGAAAAGAATAAACTTACAGAACTGAAGAAACAATCATTAAACAGTTTAAAATAAACTTTTTTTAAAGCCTAGAAAAATCAACAGCCTAAAATAACTGAATTTTTACTGAAAACCAAAACCATTTTATATCAGATAGGTCTAACAAGGCAATACTGCTTTTGCTGTTTGACACACTGTTTAGATACATATCCTGACTCCTGTACAGATTGGCTAATTTCTTTTACTTTTAGTTAAACAGATATAGAAATCCTAACATTTCCTCCTTCATACTTAAAATCCCTGACCCTAGTGTAGGTTTATAAAATGATTCCTGAAGTTCCCAGAATTAAAAGCTACTTTTTAAATAAATGTGTAAAAAAGAAAAAAAGTGCTTAAAATTACACGTATTATCTTGTGGAAATTAATTCAATAATGTTTAATAATCACATGCAGATGATCAGTGCCATCAATTTCCTCACTCAAGACTACTACATTCTAAGTCTTGAATATTCAATTCAAGTAATAAACAGGACTCAGAGGTTGGTTTAAAATTCTCTCACAAGTCATACCCCATAAAGAAAAATGCCTCAAAGCAAGTAATTGGAAAAAAAATTAACGTCATTTATGCAATGATTTTTATAACAGTGAAGACTGCTGTCTTAACTCTTAAGCAAGCTCTGTGCTGAGTTACTTTCAAACAATTAAGGTAAATACTCAAACACTGCCCCTATCTAATATTAGCCAACCACTACATTTGAGAGCAACAACAATCTCTGACTTCTAATTTTTCCCCTGATAATAAACATGAATATGGAGACAATCGCAGACTGTAATTCCACTCGATAACAGCCTTCACTCTGAGTAGGTATGGGCTAGACTCTACATGGAATAATGTCTAGTAACATTATTAGAGAAACACCTTCAGGTTCAAAGAAAAACCATAACCTTCAACCTAACGAATTTTGTAGGAAATGAAGTAAGTGTAAAGAGACCAAAGTTAACTATGTTTAGCTATAATGGGGTGAAATATTTGGAAAATAATTCCTGGGCGTGGGAGTTAGGGGAAGAGAAAGCACTAAAGTTGCACAGACAAAAGAGGCACCACAACACCACACAAGGATCCATAAAGACCACAAAACTGTTGGGGCGCCTGGGTGGCTCAGTTGGTTGAGCGACTGCCTTCGGCTCAGGTCATGATCCCAGGGTCCTGGGATCGAGCCCCACATCGGGCTCCCTGCTCCGCGGGAAGCCTGCTTCTCCCTCTCCCACTCCCCCTGCTTGTGTTCCCTCTCTCGCTGTCTCTGTCAAATAAATAAATAAAATCTTAAAAAAAAAAACACAACACAAAACTGTTTAAAAGCTGAATTTTTTTCCTAATCTATGTTAGGAAGACACTTTGATAAAAAACGTTCAAAATCTGACAAAAGGGTCTTTCTTCTAACGTGAGTTTTTAGATGCACAGTATCTGAAAAATGTTTTCATACCCAATTTTTAGAAACTTTCTCATTGTAAAAATTAACCCTGAAAACCAACCAAACACCATAGGAATCCAATCCAAATGTGAAAGGAATTATTCAAGAATAAAATCTGTCATGGTTCCTCTATACCATCTTAAAACAAATTAAGATCTAGCTGTATTAATTAGAATGCTGAGGCACAGAGGTACATAGTGTAGTATCTCATGATAGGCAGACTTATATAAGGTTTATTACTAGATGTAATAGAAATAGGGGCGCCTGGGTGGCTCAGTTAAGTGTCCGACTCTTCATTTTGGCGCAGGTCATGATCTCAGGGTGCGCTCAGGATGGAGTCTGCTTGAGAGATTCCCTCTCTCCCTCTGCTCCTCCCCCTGCTTGTGCTCTCTCCCTCTCTCAAATATATAAATAAAATATTTTAAAAAAAGAAAAGTAATAGAAATAGCACAAAAGTAAATGACCTGAATTCTACCCAGAGCTTTCACACTTCGCAGCAATGCTGGAAGAATACTTATCTAAACCTCTATTTCCTTTTTCATCAAACACTGTGAGCACACATTTGCTAACTCCAAAATATGATGAAAATGCAAGATTATATATGTTCTCTCAGAAGGACTACTGAACAGAAAAATTGGGTTTATAATAGACACTGGCAGTCCTTTCTCAAAATAACTGCCACCAAATTTTTCTGCCAGACTGTCTTAAGAAAAAAGAAAAGAAACCCCACACAGTTATTAAAAGAATATTTCTGGACTACCAAAGAATCTTCAAATTTATAATGACCTAACTTAAAAGATGTAGAGGTCTAAAATTTCAATGTTACAGGGAGGTTTGGGCTTTCTGCTGAGAAGTCTTCTGGAAAACCTTCCTCATTACTATCAGAACAGGTCAGTTTTACCTCAAGGGAACGCCTCCAAAATGCCCCAAATTAAAAAGAATGGTACAAACCTGGGGACCAAGGCTAGTGTAAATCTCCTTCACTTTCATCAATTTCTTTGACCAAATGTACCAAGGGTATATTTTTCTGACTCTATTCATGGCTTACTCCTTTGACAGCTTGTGTGACAGTATAAAGATACATGCACTTAAACCTATCTGGCCACTAACATTTCACACTTGGAAGTGTACAAATGAATCCAACAAAAATTTAAGTAAATTGTAAAATCTACTGCAAAAGAATACAATGCAACGTGACAGAATCTAAGTATGCGTAAGGAAAATTCAGTTAGTAGTAAGGTAAATTAAAACCCAGCCAAGTACGGGGCGTCTGGGTGGCTCAGTTGTTAAGCGTCTGCCTTCAGCTCAGGTCATGGGCCCAGGGTCCTGGGATCGAGCCCCACATTGGGCTCCCTGCTCAGCGGGAAGCCTGTTTCTCCCTCTCCCATTTCCTCTGCTTGTGTTCCCTCTCTCACTGTGTCTCTCTCTGTCAAATAAATAAAATCTTTAATAAAATAATGATAAAAAAAATCAGCCAAGTATATTCTAAGTAGAGCCAGTAGGCAATATAATTTATACGGAGGGGTAGGGAAAGGGGCTAGTTTACCAAGGAATTAGATTCCTTTTGCAGTAAAATGATACAAAAAGATTTTATATAAAGCAAAAGATACACCATCTACAGTCAGGAAAGGGTTGGATGATTTCATGGATCCCTTAAGCTTTAATATTTATTAGGAAAAAAACCAGCTCACTGTTTTACAAGATTTGAACAAACAGAAAAGAAACAAAGTATTTTTATATGTAATTATTTTGTCTCAAATTCAGTTTGCTCTTCCAAAACCTAAAATGACAGCTATAATATTTTGTATCTTATTATTTTTAGCCACATTAAATGAACATTTTCAATTTTCTCTGTTAAAAGATATTTAATAAAAGAGAGGACAAAAATACTTAATGGAACACTCAAATTACAAGAATTAAGTATTTCTCCTTTATTACAAAAGATATGACCAATTTCAGGTTGTGTTCAGGAGATACCAGATAGGCAATCAAAACTCAAAGTGACCTCCTAATGATTTCACTTCCTAGGAGCATTCCAATTTAACCCTGAATGTCTACAAATGTCATTTTATATAGCATATAAAGGTAACTGATCTCATTCAAGTCTTTGAATATCATCCCTCCCCCGCAAATCTCCCATGGGACCTCTGCCCTCAAAACACCCAAGAACATATACAAAAATGAACTTAATAAAATGACACATGTAAAATAACTCCTGCATCAAGAAACAGATTTCTTGGGGTGCCTGGGTGGCTCAGTCGTTAGGCGTCTGCCTTCGGCTCAGGTCATGATCCCGGGGTCCTGGGATCGAGCCCCACATCGGGCTCCCTGCTTGGCGGGAAGCCTGCTTCTCCCTCTCCCGCTCCCCCTGCTTGTGTTCCCTCTCTCGCTGTGTCTCTCTCTGTCAAATAAATAAATGAAATCTTTAAAAAAAAAAAAGAAACATTTCTTTCTGGCAACTGTTTTTTAAAGTGAGAAATAGTTAAAACAGAAAGAACAGAACACTAATGGATGTTACTGAACCACTGAAATCCTACAAGACGAAGTTTCCCACCTACCAAGACTTCAATGTATATTGAGGACACTGGAATTTGAAATTTGATTAGTAAAATAGTTCAGTCCAGTTTTTGAAATCCAGTCATGCACCGAAGTATGGACCCAAGAACACAATTCTACCATACCTAACAAAAAAAGGTTAACTTTTTTTTTTAAGCTTCTTTGTTTTTATATTTTAAATAGGAGCACTTTCATAAATGTTCTTTAAAAGGTACATTTAAGGTGCCTGAGTGGTGGAGTTGGTTAAGTATCTGACTCTTGGTTTGGGCTCAGGTAGTGATCTCAGGGTCGTGAGATTGAGGCCCTCATCAGGCTCTGTGCTCAGCACAGAGTCTGCTTGAGACTCTCTCTCCTGCTCCCTGTGCGCCGCCCCCAAATAAATAATCTTTAAAAAAAAAAAGTTACATTCATTAATTTGGTATTTAAGTGGTTAGTTTAACTTTTGAAATAGAAGAATCTACCCACTTCGATATATGAAAAGGTCAGGAAAAGCTACTCTACCCAATTTCAGCCTCCAAATATAATTACAGTCCATGTGACATGGCAACATAAAAAGCTTAAAGGGGGGGGAAAGAAGTTTCTAAGCTGTTACATGATGGTTTTATTTTCCCAGGGTGACAATCAGAATGGGATGAGAAAAAGAACAGGATTAATATAGTATTTAGGGCGCCTGGGTGGCTCAGACGGTTGGGCGTCTGCCTTCGGCCCGGGTCGTGATCCCAGGGTCCTGGGATCAAGTCCCACATCGGGCTCCCTGCTCGGAGCGGGGCCTGCTTCTCCCTCTCCCTCTGCTGCTCCCCCTGCTTGTGCTCTTTCACTCTCTCTGTCAAATAAATAAACGGAACCTTTAAAAATATACATATATATATAGTATTTAGATCTTGCTAACTTACTGCTCCAATAAAACTGTCATCTTTTAATAATCAGAAGCATAAAATCCTCTCGAGATACCAATTTTTTCCTCATTTGTTTCTGTTCCATCAAGACAGTTTAACACTTGGGGTAGAAAGAAGAGAAGTAAGAAATCTAAAAAAATTAAATTATGTCATGAAAATCAGCTGTTTCCAACATATATGAGGTATCTAGAACAAAGTTATGAAGAGAGAAAGTTCAATAGTGGTTACTAGGTGCTGGGGAAAGGGAGGAATAGGGATTTACTGCTGAATGGGTACAGATTTGTTTTGAGATACTGAAAAAATTCTGGAAATGGATAGTGTTGATGGTTGTACAACAATGTGAATATACTTAATGCCACTGAACTGTAGGCTTAAAAACAGTTACAATGATTTTTTTAAAGTTCCCTTCAAAGAGGCCATTCAAAAAAAAAAAAAGCCCCAGCCAACACCCACTTTATTTTAAGCACAAAACCAGATCAAGATTTCCTGTTACATAGCTGTGTCTAGTTTTCAAAGTTTCATTCATACTTTCATTCTGAAAGCTTAAGTCTATGTACCAATGACTGATATGTAAAAAATAATCTGAATGTATTTTCTCCACTGCTGATTCTTTAACATTTGTAGTTCAGCAATTAATGTCCTTCAAAGATCAGGCCTCCTTTCTGTGGTCAAAACAGCATTAGTCTTAAAAATTACTCAGATAATCTTACAATAAAGTAATTTTATGAATATGCATTCAAGAAATGACATGGGGCCAGGGAGGTTCATTTTAGCAAGTTTATACTTATAGAAATACCAAGACTTCATGCTTAGCTCTTTGATATCAATGAAGTAAATATAGCTGTAGTGATTACATGATACATTCAGTCTGCACCTCCATTTTTTCTACAGATCCTTAAAGGGCTAAAAACTTTCTCATAAGGCTGCGTACCAACTCCTCAACATGTAGGATCCAACACTTAGGAATGTGAAATTCTCCCACACCTACTAAGAGAAGCCCAGTAATCCATGATCCTATATATAGTTGCTAAGTAACTAAAAAAGCATCATGCCATGGCTCAAAATGCTATCTTAGTGACATATACCAAGTGACATCAAGCACTGGCTCACAAAAGGCAACTCTGTAATAAATAGGAAACCAACTTAGTTGATAGTTCACACTAAAAATCTGAAATATGTGAGAAGGGAAAAAAGACTATTACAAAAATAACCTAACCATTGAGCTGGGCTGGGTTAGAAGGTGAAAATACCATATGACGGGCAAAGTTCATTAATATACCACCTGTTGTCAAAATCAAATCTATTAAGACAAATCTTTACTTATCAAATTTAAGTAATCAAAAGATTGTTAACACATTACAACATATTGTGACAATGGCAAAGATTTCTTAAAAGAAATTTCAATGCACAAATACCACCAGTTAAAATGTTAGAGATGCTTATATGGTTGCATGTTTTTTTTTTAAAGATCAATAATGCAATCTAAATATCAATGCAACCCTGGAAATAGTTACCCACTCACTTAAACCATAATGACCTTAACCATTTTAATATCAGTATTATCCCAACAGTGGTGGCAGGCTGACAGGAAATTATGTGGCCTAAAGATTATCTGTACTTACAATGTGACATTAATTTCTGGAAAATGCACTAAAGTGTGGTAACTATTCAAGACAAACAATAGTAAAGTTGAAAAAAATTTTAAATAACATTATAATACTTTGATCCATTACACTTTGACTCACCTAATTTACTTAGCTCTTAATTCACTATCCAATAAAAATTACCTAAACTGACACAATTAAATGTATTCCTAAAAGGCTATAGGTCAATACTCACTAATCATAACTTCCTATCTAAGCCACCTCTGCTAAGACCTGGGAAAAGACAATCAGTTCTCACTCACAAATAAGAATGCAAGTTGTCATTTAACAGAACTCTATATATTAATCCTGGTACCAACAGTCTCTCCAGTTAATTTCAGCATCAGAGATAATTTAGGACCATTCTAACAAAAGAAATCCTAAATAGTGTCAACTCCTAAATGTCCTCAACTCAAAACATCAGAAACTTGGAATAGGCTGCATTCATTTATTATATTCCCACTATATTCTAGAAAGTCTAGTATTACCACTGTATTTTAAAAAATTGAATTTCTTCCCACTGTATTTTAGAAAGTCTAATTTCTTCTAAAGGCAAATTAAAATCCAACACATAATATGTTCTCTATTTGATTCCAACAAGTATGTGCGAAATAAACAAAAGAAAAAAACTGTGAAAAAATAAAGCCTGTGTAAAAACAATCCCAAATTACTTTGAGAAAAAAAGCCTAACTAGCAATTATAAATTAATAAAACTAATGAAAACAGGGAGTGAAAAAAAGAAATGACAAAACCAACCCCTCCTCGCTGACCATCTACATGTATGGAACGGATGTGATCTGCCAGATCTGGACTAGAGTTGAAGCAAGCCTGGCACTGGTCCCAACAACAATTATAGGCAATATTTTTGCTTGAAGAAGTAGTGCTTCCTTGTCCATTCATCATTGCTGGAGTTGAACGCCCACTGGAAATTGTGCTGTCTACATCCATTATAGTACTGCTTATGCTACAAAAGAAGAAAAAAGGCTGTGTTATTCCTAGAAATTCACTAACATGAATATGATCTTATAAATAATTAAGATTACTACTTGACATTCTGCTCCATACAAAGCATACTAACCATATTTTCTATTAGAAAACAACACTGCTTTGAAATTATTTAGTTGGCAATAAAGTGCAAATCAAGGCAAAAAACACTAGTACCTCAAAACCAGATATGGGATAATTTAAGCAACTTTTGGCAGACATGAACTCCCCAATACTAAAACCTACAGAAAACACACACACACACAGCTCAACACATTTCATCCCTTCCATAGTTCTAAGAAGCACAATAAAGTAAGAGTAATAGCTACTCTAGCTATAAATAATTAAGAATCAAGAGTATCTTTACAGTTGTGCAAATCACTTGTTAATCCAAAATCTTATCTTCTATTCACTAATCTGAGGACACAGCTGCTTGTCATAGCCTACCTCTCTCCGTCTCAAAGAAGTTTGGGAAATTGTGTTGTATTTTCCCTTCTAAAAAGCAGGGACACCTGGGTGGCTCAACTGGTTAAGCATCTGCCTTCGCTCAGGTCACGATCCCAGGGTCCTGGGATCAAGTCCCACATTGGACTCCTTGCTCAGCAGGGAGCCTGCTTCTCCTTCTGCCTGCCGTTCCCCCTGCTTGTGCTCTCTCTCTGACAAAATCTTTTTAAAAAATTAAATAAATAAGCAGAAGAGAGAAAACTGGGTTTTCTACAATCAAAGTTTCCCTGATTTTACTGAAGTCCAAATAAAATGTCTTTTCCTGGCCTTCATTTTTTTTTAAACTAATCTCAATCTACAAAAAAGGACTGAAAAGCCAATCAATCCTTTTTACTTTTTATTTACTAAACAAAGTATAACATATTAGTAACCCTTTTATTAAGAAAATCACATATTAGTAGAAATAAAAGTAATAGAAGTAATTCTGAATGCCCAAAATTTCATATCTTAATAAAATGAACACACTTTTGCTTCCTTTTAAAAGCCATCAATTTAGGGGAACCTGGCTGGCTCAGTCAAGAGAGTATGTGACTCATCAAATAAATAAATAAAATCTTAAAAAAAAATCTTTAGAGGTGCCTGGGTGGCTCAGTCAGTTAAGCATCCGACTTGGCTCAGGTCATGATCTCAGAGCTGTGAGATCAAGCCCCTCATCAGGCTCCATGGTAGGCAGAGTCTGCTTAAGGTTCTCTCCCTCTCCCTTTGCCCCTCCCCTTGTGCTCGTTCTTTCTCTCTCTCTTAAAAAAATAAAATTTTTTTAAAAAAAATTAAAAGTTCATTAAAAAAATTTTTTATTATCTTCCCAATACAGAAACTACAGGGAAGTAGCTTCAACCACAGAGGGGTCAACAGTAAGAATGTTTGCAGGCTAAAATCCATCAAAAGCTATGTATCTGCTTGCAATTTAACAAAAATTATGAAAGTTATATTAACTCTTAAGGGGTATGCTTCCCTACTCCCAAGTTTTTAATTACAGAAAATTTCAAAAGCACAGAAGAGTGTATCTAAATCTTAACTTCACAATTTACATTTTATCCTTCTTGCTGTAATTTTTTTTCTCAATCACCTGCAAGTTGCAAACACGATACTTCAACCACAATTATTTCAGCACACACCTTCTAAAAATAAGAACATTCACCTAAAACCACAACCTTATTTGCTCATATATAAAAGTCCAAATAAATTTTAACTTATTCAGTAAGCTTTGTTTTTCCCTCCCCTCTTATTAAGCTTAATAATAATTTGTGTCTAACATCCTATGCACCCATTTAAAAATAAAAACTAGCAAAAATGTTTTTGTATGCTTCAGACATGAAAAATATCTCAGATTTCCCTTTAAAGAATATTCACGTAAGTTCATGTGGCTATCTACCATTCAATATATATGTTCTAAATTTAAACTCTAAAACTTCATTCTAAAACTTTGTAATTGGCGGGCTCAATCAGTAGAGCATGTGACTCTTGATCTTGGGGTTGTAAGTTCCAGCCCTACACTGGGCGTGGAGATTCAGTTTTTTTCCTTTGTAATCTCTATTCAACTCTCAAATGCAAATCAGCTCTTGAATACCTAAACATTTATTCATATTTTTTTGTTTTTTGCAGGAATAAACTGTGAGTATGGCAGTTTTTCTAAAATGCATATTTTAATTTGAGCCTTAGAAATTTCAAGTTTCATGACTACAAAATGGTTGGTTACCTATTTTCCTTATTGTGGTTTCATATATTTTGACTATAAAACTCAACTTTTGTAAATCATACTAATTAACTCCAAAGGCAAATAAAATACTAACAGTTTTAAGTGAACAACCAACCACACTCAAATTATAAACAATCTTAGGGAAAGAGATAAATTTCAATGACCTACTATGACACAAGCTCTAAGGTACAGCAAAGCGTAAAGACGCACACATGCACGCACACACACACGGTAGTAATGCTCTAATTTCCACACCTAGGTCGGAAAGGGAGATATAGACACAGCTATCCTCTAAAGGCAAAACTTGTTTTGAAGGATACACAAAACACTCTCCATGTTTTTTTGGAGGGGGGAAGGGAGGGTCAGTAGGAGAGAAACCTTTTGTATAATTTTTAATCTTATACATGTACTACTTTCATGTAAAAGTCCAAAATTAGTTGAAAATGAAACCAATTTTCTCCTTAAATTGGACAGAGTAAAGGTCAAGAGACTCCTACTTGTAACATATCCAACTAGCAATATAAAGACTATCTACACAGTGCTTAATGTACTTTTGCTTATTAATTTTACCATAGAAGGGGAACCCTGTAAGTCCAAATATCCATAAACACTAAGCACTGGGTAATCAGTCTATGTGCAGTATCATTAACTTGAAACACAGTACTTTATGTGGATACAGATCCCCATAAAAAGATGGCATAATGCTGATGTTAAGAGCGTGAATTGTGTCTATCGATGGCAACTAAGCTGCAAATGCAATGGCAGAGGAGGTAAGGGACAGGTCCCATGCCCTAGAAGACTCAAGAGACCTTCACACATGTGCAGCATACCCACAGAGTCTCCCATTCCCTAGCAGGGCCAACTGGAGTCCTGCCATACAGCCCTTTTAGGTTCCTCCAACTTCTAGGAAGTGCCCAAATCCTAAGCCTCCGGGCTCCCTTTTGGCCCCAGACCCATGCTGAAATCAGTGGTTCTCTCCATTCCTAAGACTGATAAAGGGCAACAGTCCTGATGCAGGAGAGCACAGGAGACAAGTTGTAGTTAATTTCGATTTTGACAGGACACTGAGCTAGATATAGATCTCATAGAAAACACTGTCTTCCTCCTTCCTATAACAATAGGATATCAAGATGATCTGAACTAGATGGGGACATTCCTTTCACTTGATCCTGTAATATTCCAGGATAGTAAATACATTACTATTTATTCATTTCACTCAGTTCTCCTTCCCAATGAACACCTACTGATTCTGTAAAATGTGAACAAAAGCGGCCTAGTATTTGGACAAAAACCGAAGCCAGAAAAAGCACTCTTACTATTCAGGTAATTATAATAATCTAAATAAAGCAGTGCTTCTCAATATTATATGAATTACCTGGAATCTTATTAAATGCAGATACTGATTTGGTAGATTTTGGGGTAGAACCTGAGATATCGTATTTTTAACAAGCACCTACTTGTTGAGACTACTGCTACAACAGTGTAAGTAGCAAGACTCTAAAAGATCTTTTACCATTATTACCCAAGTAAGACTGATCAGACTATGTAAGGAAGTGTTTCCCACTGCAAAATGATAAACCAAACCATACACAAAAACACACAGACACAGACACACACGCACACCCTGTGACAACAGATAATCCCTAAGTTTCAAAAAAAAACACGTTGGAAATTCAAATGCAATATTTAGAGAAGGACATGAGACATTTTCAACTTAACATTCCCTTTACCCTCTTTTCCATGGGCCCTTTTCCTCTTAAGAAACTACCCGGCACACCAGACTTTTTAACCCCAACATCTAAAGTACATAGATTTTATGAAAATGATTTCCTCTGAGAATTCAAAGGCCAACTCACTATAAGAACAGAATCTTCTTTGAGAACTCAAATACTATCAAGCAAAACATCTGTGTGGTGGATATGACCACAGCTGACCGGGTTCCCAACACTGAAAAGTAAAGAGCAGCTTGCTAAATGACAAGATACAGGAAAAGAGGAAGCAATACATGGATGCTATATTATGATGATGGAGGACAAGACCATGGTCTTCATGTAACAGAGTAAGTTCACTGATACGGTTTCAGATTCTACATTGCAAACACTGTAAAACAAAACAAAACAAAACAAAACAACAAAAAACTATCCCTTGTATCAAATAGCCATACAATTAACCTTAAAAGGCTATTAAAATATCCTTCCTTTTCCAACTAAATACCTGTACGAGGCCAAGTAGTCTTCATATAGTTCAACCAAACAATTCATTGCAACAGACTGAATGCAAAAGTAGATATGAAAAACTAGCTGTTAAGCCAGACATTAAAGACATTAAATATAAAACATCAGTCTTCAATTTTTTTTAACTGGAAAAGTTATTCTACACTAAGAAAATACTATTTAGGGGAGCCTGGCTGGCTCAGGCAGTACAGCATGTGACTCCTGATCTCAGGGTCATGAGTTCAAGCCCCACATTGGGCAGGGAGCCTCCTTAAAAAAAAAAAAAGAATATACATATACATATTGGTTTATTCTTAATGTTTCTAAAGTTCTTGGTATTAATTTCTGCTCCTGTAATAGTGATAAATGTAACCCACATAAACAAAAGCTCTTTAATTTTTTCAATAACTTTTTTAATAGCTTTACTGAGATCTAAGTTATAGTCCTCAATATTTAAGAAAGCAAAGGGGTTTTTAAAAGCAAAATGTTTGAGAACCACTGTCCTGGAGCAAAGCTTAAATGACTCACTAAAAGAGACTGGAAAGAGTATGTTTCTGAGCTGGAATA